GTGCATGGTGGTGGCAGAGGTCTTTACACTCTCCCAGTGCCGGCCCTCTGCGCCTGGGTTCTTCGAGGAACTGTACCGCCCCTACCTCCTCTGAAGCCACCACGGAAGCTGCGGCCTCGACGGAACCTTCCGGAGACCCCAAAGGTTTCAGTGTTCAGTTTTTTCTCCTCTGCCCATGTAGTTCGTCTGGAAATAATGAATCACATGTCAAATGTTTAATGAAAAAAATGCATATTTCAAAAGGTGCTATTAAACGCTGCAACAGCCAATCGGCCTGCCGCTGGATGCAGTTTGCCAGACTAAAAGCTAGCAAACAAACTCCCCACACCAAAGGAGAGATCCAGTCACACACTAGTACAACATGATCAATCCCTTACTACTACGTATTCAGTTACGACACATGTACTGCCCTGAAACATTCTCTAATTTCCAAGTGAAGTGCCAAACAGAGCCTTGGATTTAAAGCAAGCAGGACGAAAGACCGTATACACCAATTCTGGCAAGCCATGCGCCAACAATGGCTACTTTCACAGCATTCAGACACTCCAGATCCATTTTGGTTACCAAGAATCTAAAAGGCAACCATGGGCAACTTTATTTTCTAGGGCAAAAGATATTTCAAACCCTACCTGGATTTCATCTCTGAAGAGATGTTATCAAAGAACGACTTTGAACGGTCGTAATAAATATTGGGTCCCAAGGCTTCCTCCTCCGGGGTCCCATCACTATTTTGTGTTTCCACACCAGAATCTCCCTTCTCGTCTCCCTCCTTCTCTGGCTTGTCATCTGTAAAAGATTGGTATTAAGTACAGACTCTTATGTGGAAAGAGGGGGCCCTAGAGAAGAGAGAATTACCTTTGAAGCTAAGCTTATCTTTGAATTCCTTGTCCAGTTCCTCACGGTTAAATTGAGCATTTGCACTCTCAAAATCAAAGTCTCCATCAAATTTGATGGTGTTCTCCTTGACAGTCGCTGGGCGGTTCTGACCACGAGAACGGTTCCTTGTCCGCCTGTTACCTGTGTTAATCGATTACAAAAACAGATTAGCGCTTTGGTACAGCTTTATTTTTGTCCATATGTGCAGCTGTCTCCATATGTGCAGCTGTCTCCTCAGGCTGGGACACAACTTCTAGGCTTAGCCCCAGGTTGTTGGACAATGTATTACCCCATAAACAATTGCAGGGATTTTTTTTTATTGAGGGTGTACAGGATGTTGGGATTTTGCTAGAATAAGCAGATTGCATGGTGCTCCGCTTTCAAGTCACGTGACCCAAGGACAGCATCAGATCACATGGCCTACAAGAGCTCTGCACTGGGCACAGAAGTCAGTCTATATTCACTTTGCAGATTCTGCTGAACTCTGTACCCCAGCCCACATTTGCCATGCTCATGCTAGGCCGACGGGGCAACCCCTCCTGTTAAACTGATGAAGCTCAGTCAAAATTAAATCGGGGCATAAGGAACAAGGGTTAGCGAAGTCTCAAAATATAAGAACATTGCATGAAATCACCTAGCTTGATTCTGTTGAACAGATTATACACAATATGGGCAGTAGTACTAAAATGTATGGAAGAGAAGGTCAAGTATGGCAATTGGTAGTGTTCAAAAATAGACAACCTCAAAAATAGCCTAAAACATGTTTCTGAAAGCAATTTCTCCTATACAGCCTTTATCCTTTCACCAGTTCAGATGAACCTTTCCGACCCCACCAGTATAAATCCCCCTTGGTGACCCCCCCACTACTGTCGCATTACCTCACTGCCTTAAAAATTACCTGATCTCCGCCTGGGGGGTCGTCTGTTCTCGTCATTCACTGTATTCTGTACCTGTGTAGCAGGAGCTGGTACTGAAAGAGGCAGTAAGAAACTTAAAGCAAATATAGCTGAGAGCTGCACACAACAAATCTGTTGCAAGTGTTAGTGCCAGTATAGTTCATGAAAATGCAGAGATGAGAACAGGGCCATTGGCTGCAATGGCAGATATAGGACTGCATTTTTAGGACAGTTTATAAAGAAAAAAAAATAGGAACTGGCCCCCGAGACTGTTACTTTTTCGACTCTCTCCATAAGACCCAACACTAGTTCATGTCGGTTTCAGAAATTAGTAAGGCAGGGTCAAGATGCCAAACTCAGCTGAAAAAAGCAGGTGCCAAGGTCAAATGGTGTCTTATGACCCTCAGCAGGGGAACTATGCCCTGAGGCTTCATTCACTGACATCTCTAAAGGCACTGTGGTAGTGCACTGCCACAGTGAACCCAAGATGTATAGGATCCGACAACCTGCTGTTTCGGGATGACAGCTAAGGTTTTACGTTCTTTGACAATCCTGACCATGCCGCCAACATGGGCAACTTTCTGAAGCATTGAGTTTAGCGCCACTCAAAATCAGGAATGGGCCAATTGTTTGCAGTAGAGGATTGCACAGCAAGAGGTGAGACACTGTTCTCTCACTAGCTAAAAGCCCTCAACATCAAGCGAAGCATTTCACTGGGAGGAGAATATCAGTCCCCTCAAAACACAGCCAAAGCTTTCTCCATTACCATTAATATGTACAGGCTGTGCTGGTGCCTGGCCCGATGCCTGTCCCGGTGCCTGGCCTGGTCTGTTCCCTCGCTGGCTTACAGGGGGTCCTCTGGGCGGCTGGAGCTTCTTCTGTGCCAGATTCTCCACCGGACCTGTCTGGACCGCCTGTTCCACCATTGGACTCTTCCGTACTGGAGCGGATGGGAAGTTGGCTCCTAAGAAAATAAGACCGTTAGGCTGATGAACTGGCTCCACCAGGTACAAAACTTGACTAACTATAATTTCTTAAAGCAGACCCATCAAGCAGCACATGCCCATTATAGAACAAGTTCAGAACAAATATTGGCATCAAACTGGTGACATGGACAGTTTTTGGAAAGCAACCCTTATGGGTTCCAGGATCCATTACAGGCAATCCCTACCAAGGGCCCCTGCAAGAGCTGTACAACTGCAATTAGGCTGTGGGCCATACTAAGACATCTGCAGTGCACACTGCCAGTAAATGGGCTTCACAACTCTCAATTTGCTTTTATGCCTATGTACAACTGTTGCCATATAAGATGAGGCTATCCTACAATCGAGGTCACCCACTTATCTGCAGTGTGATCAGTACAGGCTGGTCTGCTGGTGGATGGGTCTGTTAAATTAAATCAATGGGGAGAAAAAAAAAGGACTAGCACATTTAAAGCCACAACTTTTTTTCTATCATGTGGAAGGGTTAGAACCAAAGTCAGATTTTTGAGGTCTAAATCCACACTGGGGAGATCTACCCTTTTTGTACCAGTGTCCATGGTCACCAGAACCAATGGGGAGATTTACCCTTTTTGTCCCACTGCCCATTGCCACCAGAAGCAATGGGGAGATTTACCCTTTTCGTCCCAGTGCTCATGGTCACCAGAACCAAATGTGATGGGAAAGCAACAGTTGTCCCCAGAAGGATAGGGCAAAAGTCCTATGGGGACACTCAAGGAAATTTGCCCTCACTGTTGCATCTGTGGAACAAGAAAGGAAAATTCCCCCAATGGCATATGCAACAAACTTGAAAGGAATTCAAACCTTTCCCTATATGCTAAAAGGTTTTGGCTTTAGATGCACTATAAAGTAGAGCTAAACCCTAACTTGAGGCATTTAGCCTCCAGGTTTTTGCCCATCTTGCATGTCAGTGATAAAAACCTTCAGCCTCTTAACCTCTCCCTTTCTTCAGGCACTTCCTATTGGCGACAAAGGTAGCTGCCTGCACAATTCCAGCTCAGGTGCTTGTGGTCTCCTCCACCAGGGAGGTCATGTGTCAGAATGACAATGCAGGAGTACAGGTGGGAGGTCATTGTCACCCTACAACAGGAAGTGCATGAGCAAGGACGATCATGCCGGTAGGACCAGGTTATCAATAAAAAGCTTCATAAATACTGAAACGCTTGTTCTGTAGAGGCCGTGTCCATGTATCAGGAGGCAACTGCTATTTACAGTACGTTTTCTCCCCACAGATTGGCATTACATGATAATCACAAATTCTTGTTTTCATAATAATGAATAATGTAGACATGAAACATTAGATGGAAAGAGGAGAGATTGTTAGTCAAGCTTGGTTAAACATGCATTGTACAGGTACTACTACAAGGGTGCATTAACATTAGAACAGCTGAACACACTGTACACTTAACCAGGTTGTTTTCATTCTGCAACCAGAAGGAAAAAACAATGCCACCTGGCTGACTTCTACTAGTATCTACACTCTTCATGTATCAGCCCAATATTACAAGGGGCCATTTTTAATCTTGCCCCCCACCCCAGCAGTCTTTACTGGTTGGACCCCGTGCAAACAATCTTTGCCTGGTCCTTATTCCTGCGCAGGTGCATTGCAGCTACATTTATTCCTATGGGGGTCCACTCTATGGCAGCCACCAGTGATCCTGGGGAGTACAGTTTTCCCCATAAGAAAGAATTGAGCTGCCGCACTCATGTGCAAGAGAACTCCGCAAAGACTGTTTCTGCAGAAAGTTTGTGTTTCAGGCGGAAGCAGTGCAGTAAGATTCACTGAACGGGGCAGAGTTAATTGTTAAGTGTGCCATATACACATCAAATTCCTCCATTTACACTAAAACAGCACAGATTGAGAATATCCCTCCACTGGCCATTGTATTCAAATAGTCTCAACACCCAAGACTGGCTGAACACCCAAACTGATAGGATGCAGTCACTTTTCAACCGATATTTCACCTGGCTCAGTTTATTTTAAATCCACTTGTCAAGCTGGGTGGTGCCAACATGGCTAGAAGTTCTGCAAATTCAGCAGAAATGGGCCACAATTTGAGTTGTGTATGGCTAGCTTTAGGCTGTTACATTCAGGGGCATGAGGGTCTTTAAAGACTATTAAAGGGGCAAACCACCTATGGGGTATGTACTTGTGGATATCTTTAATTTGATGGCTTGTATTCTGGGGAAAAATGACAGACAAGAAAATTCACCTGATAAGCAGGCTGCAGGTAAAGAAACAGTGGTGGCGACAAAATCTCGTTAGCGGGCCTATATGAGCCTTCCAAGTATAAAACTTGGATTTTTCCTCACTTACAGTCCTGGTGACAATGGTTACCAGGGCAGATAGAGGGTGCCAGTGGGCACACCGACAGCAATAAAAACGGTCAAGGCTGCTAACCCTTCCCACTATCCAAAACCAAGGTTTGGCTTAAGATACACTAAGCCATCTAAACATTGATTTGTGATCTAAGGATTATAATGTCCATATTCGCCATCTGGGGAATGAAGGCTTCATTACAGCTGTAAGGAAATGCAGCAATTTAGATTCCATTAGGTTGTCCGTGATTGTATCATATTCACCAAGTGAGGAAAATACAAAAAGACCTATCAATATTTCACTTGTTAATCAATAACTCATCTTGGTGGTATAGCCATAGGCGTCAGGTGTGGGGATTATTGATTTTATAATTTGTCTGTTCTAAGGTACAAGGTTTCATGAAAATATTACTCTTCCCCGTTTCTGTGCAGACCCAAATTTTGGTTTCTCTCTTGTTAGCATATATTTTACACCCAGGGACTTCAACTATTGTGGGTGTACAAGTTACAATTCCTATTGAGTTTGCAGTTTTAAAAGCTGCCTGATCTGAAAACTCACCCAACATCTCAGAATAAGTCAATAGTAGGGTGGTTACCCAAAATTCTGCAGTCACCAGACCATCAAGTCATTCTACTGGATTTATGGTGGGAATCTTTGGGCGGCACAATAAAACCAAAGCTGGTTAGCCTTGAAAAATATCATCTGAAGCCAAAACTTTTGAGGGCGTGACTCGAGAGTGAAACTGCTAGTAGGTAACAAACTAGTAGTGCCTAAGCGTTCCAAATCCCAAAGTAACCTATTAAATTGAATAACTTAACAGTTTATGAACCCCGTTGGAGACCCCAACCGAACTCCGTTGGATTATACACAATTTCAATGCGACAAACTCCACACAGAATATTTGAAACCAGTGCTATCCATACTGGAATTTTTTTTTTATTTTTTTTTTTACCTGTAAGTCCATTTTTTTGTAATAGGGACAAACTGGGTAAAGGTTAAGAGTTTCCACCTCCAGGTCCCTTCTGTTTTATCAGAAGGGGAAAAAAATCGGTAATGGAGTCCATAAAGAAAAGATGACTGGGGTTGTTAGTGTTACCCTACTAAAAAGCCACTGAAACTGCCAAAAAGTTATAGAAAATGTCTAAGGAGACCAGTATGAGAAAACTGGATGGGGTTACAAATCTTAATCTGCTATCTAAAGGTTTTAGCTGGAAATACTAGCCCTAGTTTCCACTGCACCCTAATGCCCATCTATACAACCCCATTATTGTGAATTTAGTCTAGACAAAGTGACATTTTTATCTTCTGGTCATGAAAAAGGGAAAAATTAAAAAGGCAGCTGATTGGTTACAATGGGAAATATTTTTACATTTTGGAAACACCATAATACAACTAGGACAAAATAACACTAATGCAGCCAAGGAAATACAAAGTTGATATTTGTACTAGACCCACGTAGATCATTAACAGGTAGGTGGGTTAATTAAATTACAATACAAGCAGCTAGACTACCACTCCCGCAGTTTACATAAACACCAAGGGCAGACAACTATGGAATTCACGAGCCAGTCTGTCCAATTCAGCCACTAGGAATTGTTTAGGAGACAGCGCCTTTGACAGCTAGAGAAAATGCCAAAAGTTAGGTGCTGGCTGTGATTTTTAGGGAGCATGGGCTACCTGGCTCCTGGGATTTGTATAGCCGTTAGACAGCATTAGAAGTTCTGGTACAATGGCCTTCAAAGACTAATCTTGGCCACTTAGACAAGGTGACTAACGTTTAAGGCAATGTGTGTAATGCCCACCTTGCAAACACATACTCCTCTCTCCAGCCCTTCTCCGCCACTTGTGTCCACCAATGAAAACACCCAATGCTGCATGGGGGACATTCACACACCTCCTAATCTCCAGGCCCAAGCTCTGTCAGACAGAGGGGACTTAGCCTCCTCCGACAATGGCTGACACTGGGTATTTTGGAGACAGTTGCAACAGAGGAAAGAAAGGTGCGATAGCACCAGAACGAGGATTATCACAAGGTGACTGTCTTTGGAAGTGACTTCACCCTATAAATTCTGTAAAAGCCAGTGGCATTCATAAGGCATAAGAATCTGAAGGCTTTGGACTAAATTGTGGGGAAAAAAATGAGATTTGAGAAGTGTAGCAGACAGACTACATAAAGGCAAGGTTAGTCCAGTATGGTACAAGGTCACTGGTTTCCCAATTGCTCAGAACCTGCAAAGCACAACCAGACAACATGAAACAGAACTATTCTATGCATGCATGGGCTAAAAGGAAGGGATCACATGAAAAGCATGCAGAGCATTACAAACGACAAGTTGGCCATGTTACCCTTCGAGGAGAGGTGCGAGGGCTCCGCCAGTATGTCGGGATCCGGCAGGGCAGGCTGTGGAGATGGGGAGGAGCAGGAGCTGGATTCTGCGGCTGAGGCCGAAGGACTTACCAGCTTCTCTGCATGGACAGGGCACAACAATAATTAACAAGTCATTAACATAACGGGATTCAAGTACCAAAATTACATAATTTACTATAACAGCCAAAATTGTCCATCATTCTCAAACGTGCACAGGAAAAATGACAGCTGGTATCTGGAAAACCCTCCAATTGTCCTCCGACATGACAGCGCTCAGTACAATGTGCTGCAAACAAAGCAAGTTTTATGTACAGACTTAAATAACACAAGTAGGTTTCCAAAGAGAAATGAAGCTCCCCACAAAGATTTTGAATGTTAAAGCCGACTACGCACCATGTCCTATAAATAAAATGAACAATGTACTTGATATTTAAGCCAGGAAGGCATTTTCCACCCACAGCTCATGGGCTCAAAGATGCCTATGCACCAAGACAGCTGGTAATTTATCAGATTGGCAGGCTGCTGTGACAACACACGGTGACCCCAATCACACCTGAGCATTAGCTTTTTTGCATGCTCCTGAGGATTTCTAAACATGTTTTAAAGCTTCAGGCATTTTTGTTTTGGCCAACAGAAAACACTAATTTTGGACATCACATGTCATGTATGTATCCGCGTCCTGCTTTTTTCCCCCTCTGATGTCTTATATGTGCTATCGGAGATTCTCAATGCAGGAAAACCTCATTCCCAATTTCCTCCCAGATGCTCTAGCACTTGCCACAGTTCTTGAAATGGGCATCACTAAGGGTCATAGAGGTTCTTTAGGGCCCTCACCAGCCAAATCAAATTTTCGATCCATTTTTAATCAAATAGGGTTGAACTTGATGGACCTGTGTCTTTATTCAACCTCAAATACTATGTAACATCCAGCATGGGCACTACGTAATCCTCCATTTTGTTCACAAGCCTGAGGTTGCTTGGACAAGGAGGCTGGCTGCTGGGCACCAAATGCTTATGTTCCATATTTTTTTAGGTGCTACCAGTGAAGTCTCTGTGGCCAAAAACCGTTCAATTATGCCTGATGCTCAAGTGTTAATGGGCACCATTTCATATATTGGGAATTTTCAAGTTGAGCTTTGTTGCATTTCAGGAAATGCCCAACAAAATCGCTAAGGTGTAAATGTGGGGCTTTGTATTAAAAAGCTAAGCAGTACAGAACATATTGGCAGCCTCAGAGCTTCTTCAAAACAGATTGGTTGGAATTCGAGGAGCATTTCCCCCAATGGTTATCAGCGCAAACAACGCAGAGGTTTTCCATCTTGGACTGATGGTGGAGAACCCCCTTAACCAGTCAGTAATACTAAATTGAACACAGGCAATTTGAAGTGTAAGCCTCTGAAGTCAGGATGCTGGGACTGACCCATGTGATTAACCATCCCCTTCCCAGGGCAAGGAAAGCCGCACAGTGGCATAGAGGTTAGCAATTCTGCCCTGCAGCACTAAGGGTCCGTAGTTCAAATCTTGGCTAGATCACCATCTGCAAGGTGTTTGCATATTCTCTGTGCTTGCATGTGTTTCCTCCGGGTACTTCCGCTCCCTGCCACACTGCAAAGACATGCTGCTAGGTTAATTGACTTCTGTCTAAACTGGCCCTCATATGTATGCATGTGAGATGAGGAACATGCATGCTAAGGTCCTTGGTAGCAGGGACTGATGTGAATGTGCTGGGTAAATTGTTGCTGCTCTATAAATATGTCATAAATAAGGACCGGCTATTGTCCAACAAAAGGCAGATTCTTCAGGCTTCTTACTGGAGTGAATTTTCATTTAAGAAGCTGCTTTCAGGTCGGCTTTAAGATTCTGTTCTCACGTGTGTTTCCTGTGTGTCTGCACGTCAGTGAAAGCAAGCTAAAAATAGAGGCCATTACAGGCAATGAACATCGTGCACACCAACACTGCAGGGAGGTTTACCGCCAGATCAGAATTAAAGGAGTCATTCTGCAAGTCTTTTATCTAGGAGGCTTTACACAGATATACTTGGTGATTCCCATCCCTCTCTGAAGTGGCCACTTCCAGGAGTGTCAGCTGTCTAGCTCCCCATTGGGCCCTGTGGTTCCATTTACTGGCCCCTACAGGAAACTGGCATAGGAGGTGATTGATTGAACCACAGTGGGCAGAGGGGGACCAGGCACCAGATACTCCAGGACTTCAGAAGTGGAGGACTAGTCAGCCACCATAGTCCTTTGCAAAAAGTGGAAAAAAGGCCCCTGTAGAAAAAGGTTAAAGGAGAACTATGAGGTGAGTGCTTTTCACTCACCTCATAGTTCTAGACGACCTGTGACAATGAGACTGTCACAGGTCGGCTCAGTAGATCGGGAGGTGAGCAAACACATACCGGCGTTCGCTCACCTCTCGATCCTGTCACGGCACTCTGCCGTGACAGGGGAGGGGCTGGATTCCCCCCTCCCCGCTCAGATCCGCCAGCACTGACTGGCGGAAAGGACGGGGATGGTATAGCTGGCTCTGCCTCTAGATAGGCAGAGCCAGCTGTCACTCACGCAGCTGGGCGGATCCAGACATAATTGTCAGGATCCACTTCAGGGGCTCAGTATACTGCGAGCAGCAGCTCGCGGTATACTGCCGCGTCTCAGTATACCACAAGCTACAGCTCGCGGTATACTGAGCCTAGGGTGACGGGAGGACGCTAGTTTGTGTCCTCCTGTTACCCTGAGAACTATGGGGAAAAGCCCTGACCCTATAGTTCTCATTTAAAGGGTAATTCCACTTTCCCCCTCTCCCCCTACTCATCACGGTCACCTGACTGCACTGAATAATGAGTACTCGCCACTTGCGATCGGGTCGCAGTACAGATAGTACACCGGCAGCCGCAGAGAATGAGCATTCACTCTAAGATAAGAGCATTGGGTGAAGGGGTAGATTGGTGGGGGTAATTCCATTTTCCCCAAATTCACCTGGGATAGTGGAAATACCCTTTAACATGTTGTGCTACCAAACTATCGAGTGACAGTCCCCAATATCTTCAAATTGACTTCATACACAGACTTGCAGCTCAGTGAATGTAGGGTCAGACTTGCATTGAGAAAGAAAAGTTATATACAATTACCATGCAGCATTAGCAAGCTGAAAGCAGTGCAAATATCTTAATATATGGCAGTAAACTAAAGATCACACGTCCATATTTTTATTATATTTACATTATGTTGATCACAAACAAAAACGTGACACTGGGTTCCATCTGAGTGGAATGTATAGCTGTTGTGTATAACAGTAAGGCATGAGAGATGGGAAAGGGCATGATTAAGCTTTGAAGCAATCATTTACATATTAGACCCCTCCCAGATTAACACCTTCCTGCCTGCAATCCCTATGAACATTTCTCAGCACATTACCCTGTGCTAAGAATACATTAATATCATTCCAAAGTGAATGAGCAGCTGGCACCCATGCTACTGTCAGATTTGTGGCTAGCACTGTCATATACAGCAACTGGAACGTAGTCGCCAGGGCAACTGATCATGTGATCGCCAGGGCAACTGATCATGTGATCGCCAGGGCAACTGATCATGTGATCGCCAGGGCAACTGATCATGTGATCACATGCTTTTGTTTGCAAACAACCCTGTGACGGCCAGCTGAGCTGTCATCGGGCCTCACAGAGAGGCATTTGAAGAGCCAGAGACCAGCAACTTCTGCCGTCAAAGATTAACAGGGTTAAAATAATTTTTAAAAGCCGTTACCATGCATCTAAACCCAAGAGTAAATATTTTATGTGGGCAGCATAGATGTGGTGGCTGCAATATATTCAGAATAAACTGCAAACAAACCGGGATCCACCAAATGCTTTCATTGCATCGTGGCATAAAAGCGATCGCAAAAAAAAAAATACATGTTTCAGCACCAACAGGCGTTAGTCATAGCTAGTGGTGGCAGCATCAGGGTTGTTTTCCTGGATGGTCTTCCATTTCCACCTGATGATCCTGCCAGCAACACTTCCTGTCCTAGGGTGACAGTATTTCACCCTAGGACAAGAAGCATTTCTATACTTTATGGAGAATCCGCACTGTCACCCTAGGACAGGATGTTAGAACACCTTCCCCCATCCTCCTTTGCATCACAAAGCGAGGTGGTTTGTAGCTCACATAAAAGCTGCAAAGTTTAAATAACCTTGTTCAAGATTTCAGTTCAGTATAAAGTTACAAGGGCAGCTTTTCTGCCAAGATCTACATGTATTTCGTAACTTGCAGAATATATACTTAAAACTAATGCAGCCACCACATCCATGTACTGGTAGGCTGCAATACATTACATTTCTATTCTTGGGCTTGGGTTGTATATTACGTGTTGATGCAAACTATCCTTCAGCTATTCTGACAAGCAGCCTACAGGGTCCTATGTACAAAGCTGATCCAAACTACATTAGGTAGGATGTTTTACATTTAAAAACGGTAGAAACACACTTAGGGGTGTATTCATCTACAGAGCCACTCACCTTGTGAAACAGCATGCACATTTGTTCTGTGCAAATGGAGGGAAAAACACATTTGCATCTCTTACTTTCCAGGTAGAAAGCATCATCAGGTGAACCACATTGTGGCCACTGGATGGCGCTATGTTCCTCTGCTCCATCTGGTGGCCACAGTGTGGGATTTTCTGACATTACTTGGTATTCTGCCTGGAAAGAACATATACCAGCATTCATTTTGCCTCTATTTGCACAGAATGAACACATGCTATTTTGCAGGACGAGCACCTCTATGAATTGTTAATACACCCCCTATAATTCTACACGGCACCTGCTGGTGAAATCTGGTATGACCGGTTATAAAATACTCTGAATCGGAACTGTTGGAGATTTGCTCAATTAGAATTTGCGAACAATCAGCTCTGAAAGCTGCTGCAGGTATGTGCCTAGACGCCTTTTCTACATACCAAACAGTAGCCTCAGTTTTGATAAAGTGACAGCCAGTTTCAGTCTAAGCACCATATAACAGGATGGTGGCCACACTGTTTATAAAGGGCACATGGGGAATGAGGACCCCGGGTATCACTGCAGGGAAGGGTCCATTACCATTTTCTCGGAAATCTCCTTCATAAATGTTTACAGCCAGACCGATTTCCATAATTTTAGTCTCAGATAAGATGAATGTTTACAGATCTACACCCAACAATTACTAATAGCACTTACCAAGGCCCAAGGATGCAGCATACTGCTGGCTCAGGAGGGAGGAAGCTGCCAGCTGACCATATGTTGGCATGCCACGGAACGGACTGTAAGGCACGGACGACTGGTATGACGATGTTGAAGCAGAGCCCAACGATGACTAAAGAAAAGATGGGCAAGGCTATTAAAATCCCAGCAACACAGAACACAGAAGGAGACCACCTATAACATTTAAAACGGAGTCCTTTCCCATGTTTAAAGAGACCCAGTCACAGCCCCAATTCATAACTTCTAGCAGGGTTTTCTTGCAGGGTTTCCTTTCCAAAAGTTCACTTGCAACTTCCCTCTATACTGGCTAAAACATTTGACTGGTCCAAGTAAAGTCAACTCCCTAACAGAACCTCTTTGCCCTCCTAGCACTCTCCTGAGATTGTGCTGACCTGGCTCCTCCAACCCTCCCTTCACTTCCCTGTATACCCTTTTATGTGGCAGCAAAGAGGGAATACCAATAGTGAGTCTGCTGACATCACATCCAAGATGGAGGCACCCAACAGCAGTCTCAGCATTGCACAATGGAGGCTTTTACAGGGAAACATGCCTAAAATACATTAAATGTACATAATATGGGAAGACTGGAAATGAACGACCTGCAAATAGTCTCTTTAAAGATCGATCTATGATGGCTCTTTCCACTAAGCAAAGACACTGCAATGAGCCCCTGCTCTAGGAGGGCAGTCTGTCCTACGTCCCTATCCAACCATTCCACAGCCTATCTAGAAAGAAGCCAATTCTGGTAGCAAGGCAGAATACTCAATCATGGGGAAAGCATGCTATTGGCACGAAGAGCCCCTGGTCACTGAGCACTGAACCCCACCACTGCAAGGCCAAGTGCTAAGCACATAGGCTGGCTATAGACCGATAGTTGGTAGTACATCTGCCCACCTCCACTTACATTAGTAAAGAATGGAACCCTTCACATCAGAGTTCCTCTACATCTATGCCCCCCTTTCGCATCAGAGTTCCTCTACATCAAGAGCTCCACTTTCACATAATGATACCCCTTACACCAGAAGCCTACCTTCACCATGGATAAGCTTAACGCTGTACAATTTTGAGGCACCCCTAAAGAAACCATGAGGCACCCCGGGGTGCCACAGCACCCTGGTTGAGAAGGACTGTCCTAATATACCCCAGACTGCTGCAGTGTTAAGGGCCTGCCAGCCATCCTGCACATTTCACAAGGCTGAGATCTCTTCTCATCTCCTGCAGGTGACAATCACATCCCACCTTCGCTTTGTTAGATGGCGCTTCGTCGCGTTGCTGAACCCTATAATTATCTTGTTACTGTCGGGGATTCGACGACAAGTTACACAAACATGGACTATATCTGGCATTAGAGGATTAAAGGGCTGCCTGTTCCAGTTCTATATTTTATAACCAGATAAATTAGCCATCAGCCACCCAAATCCAATGCGTCACCCAACAGATTCTATGTGTTTGGGAGATGGAAAAACTGAGTTAGGTACCTGGTAACTATCTCTCAGATGCTGTCCTGGAAGATTACTTGGGAAAACTTGTTGCCATTGAGCATTTAACAGCCACCACCACCACAATCAGTATGCATGCCCTATATATTGACCTTTTAATACATACCTGTTAAAGTCCGGGCAAAAGAACAATTAGACCTCTGCAATACATATACATCTCTACATTTTGCATCTAAAAAATCTGCAGGGCCTCAACGGCATCAAAATCCCAAACAGTGTTGACCTGTCTAGTTGTGTATGGGACTACAAAACACCTCTGGACTAGGGAAGTCATCCCCTCAAGGAAAGGTGTACTGCAGTCCAGAACTGGTCGGGGCTGACAGCTTGCTTGGGATTCTCATGCAGCAGAAGCAGAGTTGTCAGCTCGCACAGGAAGTTGGGAGCCCACTGGATGTCTGCACAATGAGAAGGCATTCTGTACTTGTGGCATTTCTAAAAGTGATTTTATGGGAATTGTGTGTGGATTGAGAGAACTACATATTTTTTATTTGCTCAAACATACAACACCCCTGTATGTGACCACAAATTACCTGGACATTTGTGCTCTCGCTTTGATAGACCAAGTGCTGACATGGCTTAAACACCAAGGCACTCTAGTTTTAGTAATTCAGCTGCCAGAAATCTTACATTTCTATTCAGGGTCCTTTGCCTGGACTCTTAGAACCGGTACAGGGGTTTCAGAGGGGCCACAGACTACTTGGAAATTTGAGCAGTGGGCAACCAGCTCCCACACCCATAATCCCTCAGTGGATATAAAGTAGACCACCACCAAGAGCCTAAGGGAAAACCAATCAGTCATCCATACCCTATAGAACGATTTAGGAGACTGAGGGCTTAGGAGTGGGAGGGGGTTTTATAGTGTGCTTGTGTTTCCTGTTCAGGAGGAACCAATCAAGTCTCACGTAGCGGTCCTGGAAGAGGACTGGGGAAGCGATAGGAACCTGATAACCAAGTCAATAGGCCTATGCACCATCAGGTTCCTATTGCTGCCCCAGTCCTCTTCCAGGACAGCTACGTGAGACTTGATTGGCTCCAAAATCCATGTTCATGCTTGGACTTCCTGAATGCAGCACATGGCTTGGCAAGCTCCTCCCTGTTGCCTGCGTTAGTGCATAAGCCTATTGACTTGGTTAACGCAGGCAACAGGGAGGAGCTTGCCAAGCCATGTGCAGCATTCAGGAAGTTCAAGCGTGAACATGGATTTTGGAGCCAATCAAGTCTCGCGTAGCTGTCCTGGAAGAGGACTGAGGAAGCGATAGGAACCTGATAACCAAGTCAATAGGCCTATGCACTAACGCAGGCAACAGGAAGGAGCTTGCCAAGCCAAGTGCAGCATTCAGGAAGTTCAAGCTTGAACCTGGATTTTGAGGGTGCTCTGCCACAGGGAAGGAAAGCACATCTTGCCTATAATACTTCCTATTAAATCATTAGTATTTTGTCAGGTACAAAGTACACGGTTGCTTTAAAACCAATAGATGACCCACAAATTTGCACGCAATTTAGGAAACCGTTCAATGTAATATCCTTAGTTTACATACCTGGACAATGGCTGGATCCTGGGGCAAGGCATGCTGGGCCTTGGGTGGCTCACACACAGTAATATCTTTAATGTCACTGCCCCTGAAGATGATATACTCGTATACCTCTTCGCGAGGGGGTGCTGGCCTGTCAGTCGGACGGTCTTCTGTTCCAAAGGAACGTACTGTACAGAGAGCAAGAGACTGTTAAGGGAAGAATTGCAGAATACCATTCCTCAGAGTGCCTTGCTCCCAAGAGCAACCAGACGGGTGCAGTATGTTAGATTGTAAGCCCTCAGGGGAAGGGCCCTCTACCATCTTGTCTTGTATTGTGATGTCTTCCTTATATTGTAAAGCGCCGCGCAAACTGTTGGCACTATATATATATCGTGTATAATAGTAATTATGAGAAAAGAGACCACACCACTCTGATGGCCAACTATAGGATGCATGGAATAACCAGGGCATCCATCATGCCTCAGATAAAATGTTATGGGACCCAAATTAACCAAACCCTCCCTGTAAGTGAAAAGCCTGGATACCCATGAAACCCATAAACACCCAACTCTACCCCACTGGAACACTTCCAGGGCATGTAATGGGCAGCCAAGTTAACCAATGTCTAACTCCTGCATGATGACTGTAGCCTGACAAGGTCATTCAGAAACCCTAAAGACTTTGTGTTAAGTGCATAAGGTCCCAGTCGATTGGACTCTTCTCTGCCACCAGTCAAGATGGTCATTGGCCCTTAGTGCATAATCAGGCTATAAAGCGACCCATCAGCACCAGTCCCCCATAGTATAAAGAGATGGTATAAACATTAAAGAGGTTACCCACTTCTAGCAATTCACTCTGCAAAGAAAAGCCAGGGGCACTGAGGACCTCATACCCTCTAACATACACCCTAAATAACGTACTAGGTTTCCCACTTTCAGGCACCCATTGCCCCAATGAAGGTCCTGTGTTAATAGGCTTAAGTTGATGGCTTCAGTCTGAGATGCTTCAGAGAAGATTCCAAATTCATTGACATGTGCATCTGACCTCCTCCTGACCTCCATAAGCTGGTTTTGCATTCCAATAGAGAGATTTAAAAAAAATGTTTTTTAAACCAACAAAAGCCAATGAGAGGCCCTTAAGCACCCAACACATCCCTAATTAAAAAAGGCACCCAGTGACCAATCCAGGTTTGGACATCAAATCTTAAGTGGTTGCTAGATGGCTGAAGCTATAAACAAGATGGCTGTAATGGCTACCCATCCTGAGGAGAAAGGCTCAAGGTTCATCTCCATCTAACAGACATCTAGATGCATACCTGGCATCCTGCAGATGACCTCAAGGGCTCCCATAGCTTGGCCAGGGCTCAGCGGCCTCCACCAAGCAGGTGGTGCCATTGAGCTCCATCCCACCCAGCAGGTAATGCTTTTGGCAGCTCTTCCTCACCCAGCAGGTAGGGTTTTGGTAGCTGCACCTCACTCAGCAGGTAGGGTTTTTGTAGCTGCACTTCACTCAGCTGGTAGGGTTTTTGTAGCTGCACCTCACTCAGCAGGTAGGGTTTTTGGGAGCTTCAACCTACATAGCAGGTAGCATTTTTGGGGTTGCCATCCAACAGGTAGTGTTTTGGGGGATCCCATCCCATACAGAGTTTATGAGAGCTACATCCGAAACAGCTGAGTGTTTTGGGGAGCTCCAACCCAGCAGGTAGTACTT